CTCTCTGTTTCAGGCCATCCATAAGAGTCAGCAGCTGGGAAACTATGCGCCTCTCCACCTCTCCATGAGTCTGGAAAACAAACAAAACACTCAATGCAATTATGTAGAAGGAACAGATTTTGCAATAGGAGCAAAAAAATAGCTGTGCATAATGAACAGGAATGTTCTACAGAATAATCACTGTGCACTTTCAGTCTATTGCAAGCTCTAAAAAGGTTTTGAAATCTATTAGGCAGGCATTGCACCACTTTACACTCACCTTCTCTCTCTTTGGAGCAATTGCATCAAGTTCATCAATAAAGATGATGGCAGGAGCATTCTTCTCCGCTTCCTCAAAAGCCTTTCTCAGGTTACTCTCACTCTCTCCAGCCAGCTTACTCATGATCTCAGGGCCTGAAAGCATAAAAATCAAGGCTCAGGTTTAGAGGCAGCATTTCTACTATATACAAGCAGCTTTCAAAACAGAAATGTTGCCAAGTGTACACACCGTTAATTAGGAAAAAGAAAGCTCCTGTTTCGTTGGCCACAGCCCTGGCAATCAAGGTTTTTCCAGTTCCAGGTGGTCCATATAGAAGAATGCCACGTGGGGGCTGAAAGGGCAGAAACATTTGAAGACTACAACTTTCTCAAAATCTAACTTCATTCAAAGAGTAAATTAATAACTCAAGTCTCCTTGTGATATAAAGGTTTAAGAGGCTTGTTTGAAAGATCAAATAAACTGTAATCAATCTGTTGAATGTGACTTCTGTTTGAATTCCAATTCGCAGTTATAATAAAAAAGGTCAAGTTTTGCTCCATATTTGAATAAGAAAAAAATAAAATAAAATCAAGTGCCTGACCTTGACTCCAATGGCCTTGAACAGTGCAGGATGTCTGAGAGGCAGCTCCACCATCTCTTTGATCTGAGCTAACTGCTTCCTAACTCCTCCAATGTCATCATAGCCCACTTCATTCAGAGACTCCTCCTCATCCTGCAGGTGGAAGACTCAACATTTTAGTTTTCACATCATTTATAACAAGAATTAAAACATATGGACAAATGTGTTCATACCTCTCTCCTGATTGGCTCACCCTCACAGTGAATGACTGTGTCAGGAGCAACTATGCAGTAGGGGGATGGATCAGTCTCCACTACCTTGAACTCCACGGCTCTCATCCCGCCTCTGACCAGGAAAATATCACCTTTACAAGTCAAAGGGGGACAAAAAATAAGTTACTTATATCTGTACAGGTTAAAAGCAACAATGGGGTGTGGAAGTCACCTTTGCGGATCGGTCTGTAAGCCTCCAGAAAGTATGGCTTCAGGTAGACTTCAAACAGGTTGCCAGTAATGCCCTCCACTGTGTCGTCTATAGGGAGGACATGAATCCTCTTTCCGTACTTCACATCAGGACAAGGCTGAATGCTGAGGAAGACATTACTTAGCATGGCTTAACATTCATATATATATATGTAGGTGAAAGTTGGACAACATTCCGTTTTCCCTCACCTGATGACGTCACCAAGACGGACCCTCAGGTTGTTGCGGACCACCCTGTTCATCCGGACCTTCTCGTCAGAGCAGGTGTCATCTGAGAGCACGATGCACACAGTCTCCCGCCTCTTCTTCCCCTTCATCAGAACTGTGTCACCACGGAAGAGCTGCAGTTCGTCCATCTTGGCCTAAGATACAAAACATTGAATTGATAACTTGCGTTATTCTGAAACTCACCAAATCGTAATCCGACTTTGTTTCTCCAGCTGTTGAGTGGGTGGAAAACCTCTCAATGTTTACCTGAGAAAGAGAGACCACGCTGTTGTCTTCATTGATAGATTCATCAACAATCAGTCTGTTGGGTCTGCTCTTTTGCTTCAGAATGGCAGTTTGTAGGTCATCATTTTTGGATCTACAGAGGAGAAACAGAAGAAAGGGTCAGACTGAATAATCTTACTCCTCAGCACAAGGGCCCTTTTTTAATTAGCAAAATACTCAAATGTTTATGCAGAAAATAACATTTGCACTTAAAACCAATGGCGACATAATTTTTTTTTAATTATACAGAACTCCAGTATGAAAACATGGTAATTTGCAAATCCTAGTGCCATATTTTATTGGCTCAAGGTCAAATATTTTTTTTATTTTCATCCCAACCTCGTTCCATTTGTTCCAGTAAATAAAAACATTCAGATTACATCTATAATATTGTACAAAGGTTTATTTGTTGTTGTGTTCTGGCATTTTTGATTAATACTGACTACTGAGGGTCCCTTGGTGACGTTTGGAATATCAATCCAAACAAAATTTTCAAATTCTATTTAATATTGAATTTAAAATTAACTGCGCCTTATTTTCTGAAAACAATATCAATGATTATGGTTCTGATTAGGGGTGGGCATTTATTTCATTGTATATTGTTTGGGATGGAAAAGTTTTGATTCATAATTGCCATGATAAATTCTAATTAATATTTTTACCATTTGTTAAAAGACAGCATCTCATAAAATATGATATTTTGAAAAATAGTTGAAAATATTGATTAAATCAAGGTACTGTGCACCATTTAGATACAAATAGTTATATTATTCAAGAACAGCATTTGTGTTTGTGGGGCAATGATTACAGTTATCTAAAATAGAATAGTTTTTAAGCATTTTATTGTTATATTCTGTGAAACTATTGTAATAGCATTATGGGTCCACATGCTCCACCCCTAGTTCTGATCACAGCTGGGCTCAATGAAACATCCTGAAAGTAAATGCAAATTAAAGAATTGTGTGTACCAAAATCTTCATTGTATAAGACTTTTTTTTGTGTCCTGCCGATTTTGCATTCAAATGTTGACCTGGTAGAAAATCGTGTCATGTTTCATAATCAATTTGACAATTAAAATTGATTTCTTAATACTCTGCATTAAGGAAACTTATTTTGTTTGCTATTTAGTCATGATCTTCCATATCTTAGGCAAGTCAACTTCCAAAAAGGAATCAAAATCAAACTAAATGGAAGGATAATGTAAAACTGTTTATAATGAAATACAATTACTTTGTGTCACTGAATCATTTTTTATGACAAATTATTAATAAAAATATTTAAACAATAAAATTCAAATGGAGTTGTTGGCACAATGAGAAAATAAAAATTGACCATGAGTGAAATAGATTTTGTTTTATTTTGGGCAATTCACTTCTTTAGCATCACCCACAAGAAATTTGAGCTGGAAACTAAGCCACTTTATAAAAAGGTCCACCTCTACCCAATAAAATTCAGTTCAAATTCCACTCAGACCTATTGAACTCATAAAATACCACCAATCAATCATACTCTTTTCTAATTACATGCAGAGCAATCTGAGCCTGTTGATTATAACAATGCCAACTGGTAAGAAATGTCTTATAATGGAGAAGTTTTTTTTTTAAACAAAAAAACAAACAGTAAGTTTTACCTTACTGTTCAAATATATAACAAGGATGTTAATTTGCCTCTGTGGCGCAGTGTTTACATTTATATAGATAATCCTGCTAAAGATATGTGGCCCACGTTGTATTGATATGAGCAAACAGGTCGTTTGCTCAACATCCCAACTACCACCAAATCACGTTACGCACAGAAAATTCAATAATACTTTTCTACAGTCATAAGACCACACCAAGCACTAAGCTAAATTTAAAATGTCGCCCTTTTCTAGAAACTTCGCTGAATATTTTGGTAGTTTCCTTTTTACGTTGACAGCATGCTAACGTTAGCCTGTAGCTAGCCGGCTGGCGAGCAAGGGAACGCAGATGACACAGCAAAAGAATCCAAGGAAAAAAAACTTTGTTAGCAGGCTTCGTCCTTTTAAGAAATCCCATTAAAACTACATTGCGACTGGCAAAATCTCAACGTAACCTTGTTTATGCTGTGATTAGAAAGCTAATTTCAAGAGTTTTATTCTAACTGAATAGGTCCATAAAGGCTTGCCGATCGCCTAAATTGAATTAGCCTGCGTTGGTGCACCGTTTAGCATAGCAGTTCGTCACAACCGTTTGGTCCCGTAGAATCGTTAGCTTGTCGGGTAAACTTTTGACAAGCTGGACAGCTGAAATATAATGTTTTCACATTTTAATACAAACTTTAAATAATGAGTTACCAGGACCGGTGAATAGGCCAATTTTGATCGCGGATGGCTTTGGCCTTGACAGTGTTGCTAAGCTAAAGCTAGCATTCGAGTAGCGATGACTGCGCTTTGTGAAGTCATACAACTGAGTTAGTGAATACCGTTAACCGACCAGGAAGGACCGTGTGTGGTGACAACAGTTTAATAACAATTAAAGAAGCCAACATACAAATGGTAGTACGTTTAACCTACAGAAAATACTGCGAAGGATGAAGTAACTGACCCCATTAGCTCCCATGCTAGCAAATTCGACATGTATTAGCATTCTGAACGTTAGACATTTAAAGGGTAATACTTAGCTGCCACTGCAACAAAAAATACGCCTTTGAGCAATTCTGAAGATTCTGTATACTTACTCCCCTCCCGAAGCCATGGTCGTCCACCTGGTTTGCTGGTAATAAATATAGAAATTCTAGCTAAATGTTAAAGGAGCTGGACCGGTTTCGCTACTAGACGTTCTCAGTGCATTCACACGAAAGAGCAGCAGTTTCCTTTGCCTTCTTTACGGTTATACCATGAGTTATACACAATCTGCTTTCTGATTGGCTGGAAAAAATTCGGGCACCAATCAGACGTGTAGAAGCTATCGTCACCAAGGGCACTTCTGAAGTTTAGCCAGTTACAAAGAAGAAAGAAGAGGTCGTTAAGTTTATTTTCTATTGGCCTATTATTAAAGACCATTCATCCAATTAACGCTCACCGCGTTGATATAAATCCTGTAAATTTTTTGTTTTGCTAGTAGTAACAGTGATGTTGCCACAGTCCAGGCTTTAAAATTATTTGTGACTGAAAGAAATTGACTTTTTTTTTCTCCTGAAAATATTCAAAAATTAAGCCTGACTTTTTTGTTTCAAAAATAATTCTGTCTAAAACAATGTAATTTACTGTACTTCTACAGAGCAGATAGTCATACCAATTTTTTCCCTAAGGCAGAAAACATACGTTGAAAGAAAGAAAACAAAAAACAAGGCTTTTTGAAATCAAAATTATACAGTTGACATAGTGCTTAAGTACAGTGATTGACAACATGTCATTTCCAGTCCCAACTTTGAAGGTGGAGATGTAGTTCAACAGCTCATCTGAACTTATTCCAATTTCACTGTCCTTATCCATGATTTGTATAATTTTACAATTTTTAGACATTTCAGTGGTTAGTGTACATCAAACCAGGAATAACAGTCACATATTGAAGGATATAGCAACACAGAACATTATGCCACAATTGATCCTTATGAGTTTTGTGAATCAACAAAATGCAGAACAATGTCAAACTTTTTGCCAGTGTCCATAGCTCCTGTTTGTGATGTTCCCTCCATACACCTGTAGAGTGTCTGGTTTTTGGAAAATCAGGCTATGTTTTGTTTTTTTGCAAATAAAATGGTTGTTGGAATTTTGAAACCACAATCCTCCAGGCACACGGGAATGGTTTGAAGCCACCTATGAAGTGACTGGGGTGAAGATTCACTTCTAAATCTGAGGCTCAACAGGAAAAAGTTGCGTTGCTTCCTCCAGGTTAGGTTTCAGTGTCTTCCTGATGCACAACTCCTGGACCCATTTCCCCTTCAACTTAGTCTAGGACAGTAGAAGACAAAGGATGAATGAAAAGTATTATTCAGAATCTGTTTAATTTCTTTACATTATAACAAAAGTTCTCAAAGCCCCAACTTGCAAGATGTTTTTCAGGTGGTGGAGTCATCAGCTGTGTAATCATGAATACATCACACAGTTTTTAGATGTGCCACAGATACAAAACACTGGAATGAAATGGCTTAATTACCTCTTTCTTATGTAGATCAGTTCTCCAGAGCCTTGCTAATGACCTAATTATTCTACTTAGGTGTGGCGCAGCAGAGGCACATCTAAAAGTTGCAGGACACTGGCCCTTGAAGACTAGAGTTTGACACCCCTGGTCTAGAGGCTATCCAAGTCCTATTTTTGACAGCTGCTATTTTGCAACTTCTGGATGCATCTCTTCCACAACACATCTGAATCAAAGGGCATTCAACCTGCAGAGATAATAAGTCATTCATTTGATTCAGGTGTGCCAGGGCAGGAAAGCATCTAAAAGTTGCAGGGTGGTTGCTCTGAAAAGCAAATTCTGCAGCTGCAGTTTAACTGACACTAACATACCTACAGAGAAATGTGCAGACACAGATCAAGTGATGGGTTTTCATAAATGTGGTTTCTTTATTTCATTCTCGTCATATTTTTTTGTGCTAGCATTTTGAGTTTTATTGCACAGGCGATCACCAAACATTCATGAAGCGATTAGACTTACTTTTTCATTCTCTAAACCGGCTAGGCAGGACCAGGTTCTTGTAGTTTTTGGTGCAGCTCTGCCAAATCCAGCAATGGTCCAGACTGAAGTTCTTGTGCATACACAGGAAGAGCCCTGCAAGAGAATTGAGGTTCCCACCATAAAATTTTGTTATAAGAGGTCAGGTAGAAGTTACTACTGAGCGATTGTTTTTTGTTTGTTTTTTTTTGTCTGTCAATGCATACATTTTAAAATAAGTTTGTTGATTGAATGCTGAACCAGATTTATACGTATGTACTTACTGCTGCTAATAGATGGTGTCAGAGCACTTTAACAACCAAAAACTGTTTTACATCTTTTATTTTCCTTCATCGTTTAGCACAACAATTGGGGTCTCAGAGCAGGACTGAAGTTAGCTTAAAAACAGGTTATAATTAGGTTTTCCCTATTTCTAGATAGGGAAAACCTATCTACAAATAGGTTCTCCTATTTGTAGATAGTTTTTCGATCAGACCTAAATAATTCAAATTATACAATTTCTAATTTTTTTTTCACTTCTTCCTTTTAAAGCCCCAAACTCCAAACTATCAGATTGTTACTGGTTGATATAAAATTCAGTAAAAAGGAAAAGCCTGTGCAAGAGCAGAGTTTAAAGTATCTCACTCTGATAAGGATGGAATGGGACAGCTCTGGGTCTGTTCCCAACAAGCAGCCGCCTCCTGCTTCCTGTCCAGCCTCCACAGGACCTCACCACACCACCGCCTGGCATTCACACCCTCTGAAGCCGAAAAGATTGAACGATCATGTGATTGAAAACAGGACAATGTAATACAAGTACACACACTGTGGTTTTAAATAACATATTTCCTTCTATTTCGACACATTGACATCATCAAATTACAAAAATACACAATCTGACATGTTCACCTCTAGAAAGCAGCCCACTTTCCATTTACAAAGCCTGCAGGTGGGCTGAGTATTTCCACAGACATTTGATCTGTATTTTGTGGTTTCTTGTTTATAGACAGGTTATTTTTGCATCTGTATTATCACATCCTCTGTACAACAGAGGATGTGATTACAACAGTGCCTTTATGATTACTTTTTGCAGCAAACAAGAACATTGCTAAAAATCAACAAACGTTAAATGGCATCCAATGACAGCATTGTTTTAGATTATTGGGCCAGCTGAAGGTTATATATAAACAAATGAAAATGGCCCTGATGAAATAAATGTCACCCTTAACTTGATTCTCTATTGCAGAACTATTTGCACCAATCACTGCTAACCTCAGAGTTCAGCCTGGATGAATTTGGATAATTTTCCTTTTGTGTCCATAACCATGTTAACCTCATACTCTTTTATAATATGAACAACTGTTGTCACAAAAACAATACACTGCTTGGAGATGGTCTAGTAGAGTTTACCATAGAAATTTAAAACCTTCTTTTTGAGATCCTGATCTGATGACAAATTTGAAGGCATTTATGATACTAATTTATATTCCAAACATGGCATTACTCCCCATACATCGACATGTAAAACAAACAAATATTTTATTTTATTTTAGAGCGCTAACATACTATCATATACGCTCGGATCAGAACTCGGAGGACACTGTGAGCTATGCATCTTTAATCATTATTCACAGCTGTGGGGTGCATACCTGGGTGGGCCTGCCGGCTGAGATGAAGGTCTCTGAGAGCCTCTCTCAGTCGGTCTATCTGTGCGAAGCTGATCCCCCTACCAGCTAAGGAAAGTCCCTTTAGTCTTTGGAGGACACACAAGTCTACACCTTGCTTAGCATCTTCATCAGTGCAGGGCATTTGCAGTGAGGAACCTGTAAGGAAACATGCAATTAAGAAGAGACTGACTAGAGATCCACTTCAAAATTCTTTTAAAAAATACTCCACCTGTGTCTTTATAGTGCACCTTCACCAACAGGTTGATACACCTACAGTGCAGAAAACCATGTTGTGTATTTATTCAGAATTCCACATAGAAACAGTCTGAGTAAAACCAGTCTAGAACCAGAACTGCAGACCTTGTGTAGTGGGTTACTGCTTGCTTCCAGTCCTTCAGCTGAGAGTAGCAGTGACCCTGAAGGAGGTAAGCTGCTGCTGTCCAGAGCAGCCTTACCAACCCATTTTCTGTCTCCTCTGTCATCTCCCTGCTCCTGTCCACTTTCCCATCCCCTGGATCCTCCAACAACACTTTTTCTGGAATCAGATCCAGAGTCGCCTCTATGACTTCATCACAAAGCGCCAGACAGTCTGCAGGCCGCTGGGCCATCAGTAAGGCAGCTCCAGCCTCAAGGTAGAGTCTAGGTAACTTGGGGAGGGTGGAGCCTGCAGCATGAACCTAAGGCCATAAACAGGCAATGCAACACTTTTCATAAATACTACTTCATTGATCACTTCTTGGAAATGGTTTGTCAACATGTTTGCTCTTACTCCATGCTGATCTTCTGACTGAAGAGCAGCAAGCAGGTCCAGATAACACTCCACGCCTTCTGATACCCTAAACAACCAGAAATACTGTCATTTCTTAGCAACGAAGTTAACATGTTCTCAAATACACGATCTGTGCCGGTGAAAGGAATTCACGTGGACACCATGCTGCTTTTCTCACCTGCCGTGGATCACGCATTTGAGAGCCAGACTGTGAAGGACACTGAGGGCAGACGGGACAGAGAGCAGGCTGCTCAGTGATTGGCTGCAGAGAAATAAGGACGGTGAGAGGAGATGGCCTGCAGCCATGGCAGGTTCTGTACTTGAGGGTAACAGCAATATCTATGGAAGAAAAGAGGTTTGTTGTTTCAGTATCCAGACTTGGAACTCACTTAATATTTTTCAGAGATAAAAAGTTAGTTTTTCACTTATTTGCTCATCTAGTCAACTACAAAACACAGTATTTGGGGAAAGGCATTTATATGCTTTAAGCATTTTCCAATTTTGTTACAATTCGTTCCACAACCCACTACTATATGTTTTATAGTAGTGCATATTTAATATGTGGAAGAAAATCCAGGACTGTTTTCCAACTTAAAGATCTCAGAAGAATGATGAAAGCTTGTGTTCAGTCCCCTTTACACTGAAATGCCTAAATAAACACCTGATTAGGTTCTGGAATCAACCTGTGTGTGATTTAATGTTTTGGCCTGAGCAGCAATGTATGATGCAAAAAAAAATCCTACACTGCACATCACCCTGAACATACCAGCCCCTTAGAAAAACATGGTAGAGTCAGCATCATGCTGTGAGGATGTGTTCCATCAGATGCAAGAGTGAAAATAGTTGTTGCTAAATTCAGAACAATCTTGGAAGAAAACCTGTTAGAGGCTGCAACAGATAAAAAAAAAAAAAACAGGAGGAAAACAATGCTAAACATAGAATCAGATTATGGTTTAGATCAAAGTTTATGCAAACATTCATGGACTGACAGAGTCAAAAATCTAGACCTAAATCTTAGTCCCTGTCGCTGTAAAAGGGTGATTTTGTAAAACCTTTATATTGGTTAAAAATGAGAACATGTAATTATCCTTTCTACTTTGTGTTGGGCTATTAAACAACATCCTAATAAAAGACATTTAGGTATTTTGGTCATAAATTGACAAAACATGGAAGTATTTAAGGATATTAATACTTTTGGAAGCCAACCACTAATTATTATGAAAACAATTTATTTGTATCCATTAACATGAGAGACAACAAAAAGCATCCTATTATTTGGGAAAATATTCTTATTTTGGTTACTCACCGAGTGTAGTATGCGAAGAGCCTGTATCTCCGCCTGCAAGTTTTCCAACTGCCTGTAGATGAGCGCGCTCTGATAGAGAGCAGAAACACAGCCGGGGTCTGTCTCTAGAGCCTTTCGGTAACACTGCAGTGCCATTTGAGGGCGGTTCTAGAGTCAAGTGCAAACACACACATGCTCACGACAATGAAACAACCCAGCACTCTACGTTTTCTGTTATCAGTGGCTGGTCTGAGCGGCTTTATGTACCATAAGGGCGAGGCAGGAACCTGAGAGGAGGTGTGTGTAAGCGACGAGAGCTCTGGGAGCAGGCGAGGCAGAATCAGCCTGCAGAGCAGAAAGCACACTCCAACCTTCGGTCAGCCTTTCTGCACCTTATTAAAACAAAGGAAGAAGAGCAAAACCACTTGGATTGTTATTCATCAACACCCGCTAACAGGAGAGGAATAGCATTGATCGTCTTAGCTGAAGAAGGAAACAAGTGAGGTGTCAGATCTGGTCAATCTTACAAATTTCTCATTTTAACAATCCAAACTTTTTTGCATTAAAATTTCCAAATGTCTCAACTGATTTTGAAGCATTACAAGGAAAGAAATTGTGATAAACACTACTTTTACTGCACTCTGAAACATATATTTGGGGCTTTAAACTTCCCAACAACCTAAATGACTACAGAAATATATGATGATATATAATAGTTTTTATTAACATATGATCATTCATTAATAAGCGAGTTCCTCTTGGGGATCAATAAAGAATACTCTATTCTCTTCTATTCTATTTGAGTCAAATAGCTTTAAAATAACTAACATTGGAAAGACTGACTTATCTTTCCAATGTCATTCTTCCTGTTCTTGTTTTTGTCTTCTAACAGCTTGACTCTTCCAACATGGCGCACTATTTTGGTGTGATTTCACTTTATTACTAACCATAAACTGTAATTCCCTGTTACAAAGTTCAGTTGAGGTCATTATAAAAGAAAATAGTTAATAATTCTCTATAAGAAACTCATCTGATAGCTTTGGCCATTCAGAAAAAAAAGTGCAATTATGGAAAAATTAAATGTTTGTGTTAGAGAGCATAGAGCTAAAATATTATTAAATGTTAAATGTTGTTTAGTCACAAATACTGGAATCAGAATCGTAAAACTCAACCAGTATGAATGTTGCTGACCTTGGACAATTGCAGTGCAGATTTTCAACAGATCAGCAAGCCTTCTTGGGTCTACAACTAGTATGGGAATATTCAGGACATTTTCCTTTGTTTCAATCCAAACTGCTCCACTTTGTGCCTCCAAAGTAGACATCTCCTCCTGCAGCAAAGAAAATGAGTGTTTTGTAGTTTTTTTCATTGATAACAACCAAACCTACACAGAGATAAAACACTGCAGAGTTTGAGAAAACAAATGATAGACTAGGATGAAGAGTGAGGCATTTGGGTTTTGAATTTTCAGGGGAGTCTTGAAGCAACAGACAGATATCTGGTGGGCAGAATGGCTGCAAACTGGATGGTTTGTAGGAATATAGAGAGTCTGTGAGTTAGCACTCTAACTGGTCTAAAGAAAGTTCTGGAAAACTGCTCAACAATTCAGAAAAAGAAAGCAGAACCCATCCCAGGCTGCAAGTCTTGAAATTAAAATTACTTTAACGCCAACTGAGGTTTTTTCCGCTACCTTGCAGGAAATTATTTCTGGCACACATGAAGAGGTCTGAAGTATGCTATAAGTCTGTCCCATTTGCTGTACTCTGTCCTGAATATAGCACATACACAACAAACAGCATCCAGCTTTTCGGACAATGCGGTGTCTGTGAGTATGTTTTCATATACAAGATTCATTTTATTACTGCCAGTGTTAAATGTTGTTGTTTAGACGATGTTAGCATCTTCATTACTCCAATTCTCATTAATCCGTTAAAAATACATACAATTGATAAATAAAAGTGATATGTGTGGGTAGTGAAAATTTTACACATTGCATTTAAATTAAAGTGTTTAAAAGATTAAGATTAATTTCCCTATGGAGCTGCTCTCAAAACTCAAATTAACCCCGTTTCTTTTTATTTCCACTTCAGTTTGATCATATTTGACATTTACACTGTGGTAAAAAAAAAAAACAGCATCAACTAATTATGTATAAATACCTAAATAACTTAATTTCATTTATTTCTGCAATGCCTTAAGTAGCAAGGTCATAAAATACAAGTCTTTGCTTGCACTTTATCATGTTGTATGCAAAAAAAAGACAGAACAACAATAAAATTTTAGCTATTAGATTTTAAAAAAACTAATAGCAGTCTTATTGAAGAAGGACTGTTTAGCGTTTTTGATACAAATGGATCATGTCAATAAAGTTTGGAAAAAGACATTTGTTGAATGAAAGTTTACTCATTCCAAGTTTTCATTCATTACTGGACATATGTGGTGAAATAATGAAGGAAAATAAAACAAACAAATAACCTGCCACCTAAACTCTTTAGGACAAAAAAAAACATTTGTTCAAAACTTACTTGAAAGTCTTGCACGGCGTTCAGGCAGCTCTTGGCCAGCCATACTCCCCTTTGCAAACAGAGGAGGCTCAGGACATAACGATGCAAAGCTGTCCCAGTCACTGATTTAACAGCTGCTCTCCAAAGCACAGAAGGATCAGAAGTACCAGGATCATCTCCTGCTATCAGAAGCACTACCAGGAACAAACATAAACAGTAGGAGTGATAGCAAAACCTTATCTGATTAAGATTACCTTTAAGGCACTAGCTGGTGTGATCAACAGTACAGTAAAGGTTCCTGTGCTTTCAGACAGAAACTTACATCTCTGGGCGCTCTGTGTGAGGAGCAGCTCAGCCTCATCAAACTGAGACTGAGCAGTAAAGCACACACAAGTGTTATAAACGACAGAAAGCTCCAGCTGTGCACGATCCAAATGAGGAGGAATGCCTGAAAGAGATAAACGCAGGACAAGAAACACATGAGCTATAAATGAGAGCTTTTCTTGAGGAGTAATATACAGATTTCCTTAAAATTTTTCATTTCAAAATGCTACACTTTCATAGAGTCAAATTTCTCAATTGTTTCTGCAGTTTTTGTAACATTCTGGACACTCAAGCCGAAAACATTAACCTTGAGCGACTGAAATTAGAAGTCTTATATTTCCTAGTGGGGTATGTTGCATTTTTTCTGCTGTTTTTTGTTGTTTTTTTTTGCATCAGAACCAACTTAGCCTCTATTTTAAAATCGGCTATTCTTGTCCTTGCAAAACAAATTCTGGAGTTGACAATCATTGCATTATTCAAACAATAGTAAACTTTGATCACTTTATTTCATTTGCTTAAGGTACTATTTGTCATTTATTTTATTCTGATTAACAGTTATGTCTAACAAATAGAAAAAGGCTTTAAAGTGGGTTTTCAATGTGGCATTAAAAAAACAACAAACCAAAAAAATTGTTGGTTTGTTGGTTTCAACAAACCATAAAAAATAGATTTAAAAAATGGGATAAAAAAATAGAGGACTCTGAATCACCTTGTATTTTTCTGAGAAGTTTGTGGAAGTCAGAAGACCATCGTCTCTGCCTGAACAGGTTGTGCTCTCGGTTCGGTGCGTCTTGTCCATCCTGCTGCTGAAACAATCAGTCCAAAACAAACGATAAACTTCATAAGGATGCATCTTAGTTTTCTACCTGCAGACATGCCACTTTACGTTCTTGGTCCACCACAACTTAGAAGAAAATTAGCAACACTATAGCTAAAACTTATGACTAACATTTAGCCGTTAAAATAAATATAACAGGGATTTACCTTACAGCTAGAAGCTAGTTGGTTATTTTCCAGAGTCCAGCTTTCCAATAAACTTGTTGACTGAATCATTTTGTCAGAAACTACAACATTGTTTATTGTAAGAAAACAAAAAGTAAAAAAAACAATAATATAGTTGCTGGTGGTTGTTCAACTTTCCCTCGTTCACAACCGGAAGTCCAAAACCTCACTGCCGTGAAGACTTCTTCTTCTGGCATTAGTCCGAGAGGCGCACTAGCGCCACCGTCCAGTCTGGAGTGTGGGACACAGAACCAAATGCTGAAAGGAAAAAATAATGTCAGGTTGTCAGGTCAAGTTGGCAAATAAGGTAGGTTCCTGTGAAGAGTGTGGATCCAAAGAAACAAAAAATTAAACCACAGCCATAAAATTAAAAAAATAATTGTACCATTTTTTTATTTGTGGTTGACAAATATTGTGATTATAGAGGTCAACTTTTCTTTAAATTTCCTATTCTTTTCTAAATTTCCCCATTTTCTCCTTTTTGCTTTTACACTGAATCATTACAAGTTCAATTGTTTTTTATTTGTTTACAAGACCTACACCTTCCTTTAGGTTCTGTCCATCCTGTGCAGCACTAAGTCCAGTATGTCTTAGCCAAAGGCTTGTTATTACCCCTTCTGCAATTCTCTAAATTATCAAAACTCCTGAATTCTCCAAACTTTGTTTGAATCATGTACCTCTTGTTTCCCGTTTCTTTTCAGTGCTCTATTTTAAACCTGTCTGTGTCGGATGATTCTGACTATGACTCTATAAATTAATGTAATCTTTTCAGTTCCGTGGACAGTTCACTCACCTTCACCGGTAAAGCAGCTGCTGGGTTTGTTTTGGTGGATGACCTGTTAGTAGCTGCGCGGTTCTGCTGCCCCAGGTGGGTCCATCTGTGAAAGGCACGAGCAGTTCTGTTGACTGTCCAGTAGGTGGTGCTGTGAGGAAGCCAGGCCCGGCTCCAGAAACTTCAATCAGTCTATCCTGCAACAGCCCTCAAGCTGTTAAGAGCCGCTGTTTGCTTGCAATCTTCCAAAAATAAACGCCATTTTTAAGTTTCATTAAATTTTTAGCTTTATTCAGAATGATGGATTCCAACAAAATGAAACTTTAATCAAATATAGAAATCTGGTTGCACACACACAGATTTTAATTGCATTATGGCTGAGTCATACTTGAGCCTGCTGGGACAGCCATTTTTCTAAATGTCCCTGCACAAGGTGACCCACTGTCCTCTCACCCAGATGACACCCAGATGCATCTGTCTTAGATCATTCTGTGTGTGTTTGCTGTCATCCCTGCATCAGCCTGGGCTGCCATGGCTCAATTTGCTGCTGTTTCTTCAACCCTAAGCATCCCCCACATTCCTTCATAGACTCAAATAACTGGACAGTCTAAAAGGCACTCCTGACAGCTATGATCCTCAGCACATCCTCCTTGCCTACACTGCAGCACGTAATTTATGCAAATAACACATTGTTCTCCTGAGACATTTTCCACATTTGTAGATATTTTTTCTCCCCTAGCTCTTTCCTTCCCCCTGTCCTCCTGCCATAGCTCTTTGAACAAGTTGTCTTGGATATTTACAATACGGGTTTTGTTTTGCTTATTTCTTATTTTATGTCACTCCAATAGCCATTTGCAAAAGTAGTTTGAACCTTTTCACAATCTTACAAACTAATTTTTTTTGTATTTTACTGGTATTTTATATGACCAACAAAAGTAGTGCATAATGCAGAATTTTTACAAAGTACGACATTTTGTAAACCGCACAAACAAACTGGTTAAAATTGTGCAAAACCACCCTTGACTGCAATTACAGATGCAGGACTTTTTTTTATTGGGTTTTTTTTTGACTTTTCTCCACTAGCTTTGCATTTTTGATTGACATTTCTGCCCATTCCTCATTGCAAATCAGCTCAAATTTATCCAGATAAAATGGAAAGCATCTAAAAAACAATATACAGTTTTAAGTTCTTGTCTGGGCTTTGATTCATTCTAATATATAAAGTTATATTGGTTAAAACTACAGGAAAGTAAACCTTCCCAGGAGTTTTATGTATTCTTTTTTTTCCAGGATTTCTTGTATCCTCCTTCGTCCCTCTTGCCATTCTCCCTGTCCCTCCTGAAGCCAAGCATCCCCATAGCATGACACTGCCACCTCCTTACTTAAGTAAGGATAATAAATTCAGGATGATGTACACATCTAATGCTATCTTTTAAACATGTATTTCCTCTTGCCTCCTCTTTCGTAGTATCCAGATTTGTGGAGTATATAGATTGAGCCTCTGAAGAAGTTTGAATACATCTACATGCTATTATGAGATCGTCTTACTTCACGTTTGCTTTCAAATGATTCTTTTCTATTTATAAACCATGTAGCCCTGAGAGAGACACATGTCTTGTCTGTCCTTCAGCCACCCAAACATGAGTGATGGAAATGACTGTGTCAGTAATTATTAGTCGCGTCACAGGAAATTTAAAGAACCATTAGCGGAAGGCATAAAATGCTGATTTATCCCAGGCTGTCTAGGGAGTCAGTGCTATAAAAGCATGTCATCACACAAACAGTAGATAAAAGGAAACACCAAAGTGCTGGTTTGTCTGCGCTTCATCTTAGATCTCAACAGATCAGTGAATTCACAATTCTCGTGACTCTGTTGAGGTGCGCCGGGTAAACTCGTTCACCCCCAGTTAATCAATAGGTGCTGCACATGCTCTTCAGGGTGAGCTCTATTCTCAGAGCGGAGAGCTCTTCACACCAGCAGCTCAATTTTGGGGGTAATGCTGTGTCATTGTAGCAGAATTCACACACTGACACATACACTGTAATGGCGCTGCAGAATATTGTGCATTATGTGGTGATTTGCATCATCTTAAACCAGACAGAGACGTGCAGAAACATACCAGTGATAATTAGATTATACAAAAGCATTTTTGTTTGAAGCTTGAAATGTAGCCCTTGCTTTTTCGGAAAATGATTTGCTCTAGTATTTAAACACCTTCATATTTTGTCATGGGTATCTTTAGAGGATTTAATGTGATAGACCATCACTCTGTATAGCGCTTAATTATTATGATCATTTAGTGTTCTTCAGGTCTTGTTATATTTCATTTATTTATCAGGAGAAGCAGGGACCAAAATATAAAATTTTTACCTCCCTGCGACACACTGTGTGTGAAAAAGCTCAAATCCCCTTGAGCACAGCATACCCCCTGGTCAACATCAAACACTGTGGTGGGAGCATTATGCTGAAGAAATTGTGAATGTCAGCAAGAAATGTTTTTTTAATTGTTGGTAAAATCCATTAAACGAAATACAGGACGATCTGTTGGAGGCTGCAAAACACTTGATCCAGTAGAGGTTCACGTTCAACAACCCTAAAAATGCAGAGGTCCAATAGAATGATTTAAATCCAAGTACCTTCATGTGTTGGAAGAGTCCTGAGGTCCAGAACTAAATCTTGTTGAAGGGGATTTGAAAATGAATATCTATAGAAATAGAGAAATATTCCCAAAAATTTACGTCTGGAATTGTAGCAAAAGAAGTGCTGACTCTACGTAACACATTGTGCAACTATTCAAATTTTCTGTTGAAAACAATGAATGATTTTCCTCCAGCTTCACAGTAATGTGCTGATTGTGTTGTTGTGTCACCTAAAATCCCAATAAAAACCAAAGATGTCTGCTGTTGTTATGACAACATTTGAGTTGAAGGGGTGCGAATATTTTGCATGTTTAGATTTTTCGCCTTATTTTCTATTCTGACGTTTCCAGAATGGGTATGCTGGAGGGATGAGTCAACAAAAATAAAAGCCAACCATCTGGCGTGGACCATATAACACATTTTGATTTAATCACTGGACTGAAATGAAACAATTCCTGCTATTTTTGCAAATGTGGCAGATTTCAAATAGCATCATAACTGATCTGGTTGCCTTCTGAGAGCAGAAACAGTAGGACACAAGACGCACAGTGAAACAGACAAAAATGTTAAAGCTGGAGTTGACCACTGAAGAGGGGCAGAGGAGAGGATTACAAATCATATTTCATTTTCCTTCTTTATTCCCTGTTTTACACATTTGAACCTTGTATTGCTCTTCCATGTAAAATCCTGATGACATAAAGTCAAGCTTGTGTCAACTTGACGAAACAGGAAGGAGGGATGTGAATACTTTTGCCAGACGCTGCAAGTGTGAAAATTGTCACTGGCCCAGCAGCTGAGGTGATCCCCAGGAGGGCTGATCTGCAAACTCACTGCAGCAGCAAACAATAAAAAAAGCATCAGCAGAACCCACTGAAACCCCCCCAGTTCACCCTCACCATGGTTTTACATCTTAAAACATAAAAGAAAAAAAAATAATCTGAGCTGTTTATTAGTGTTGGATTGAAATGCGACATGGTTGCATGTTTTAAATTGTGGTGCTTTTTGCCCCTTTTTTTTAAAAAAAATACATATATATATAAAGTAGATGAGGTGATTTTTAAGATGCGTGTTGCATGATATAAAGTTAATACTGAGGTTTGTAGTTTCAGCATCTCAGCTGCTCAGCGCGAAGTTATTTCTGCGCAGCCGGTAGATTTTTTTTTCTTTCTTTTTTTGGGGGGGGGGGGGGCTGTCTCTTTAAAAATGCATTGCCCTTGTGCTGACTAGCGACTATTCCCTCCCTCCTATAAAAGCGCAGCGCTCTCCCTCCTTTGCAGTCAGTTCTCCCCCGGCCTGGCCAACATGAGTTTCACGGTGGACCACCACTTCATGGGGCCGAGCTCCTACCGCAAGGCTCGGCCCACATCCGTGTCTTCCAGCGGCTTCCACTCCCAGCAGCGCCGCCGCCTCACCTACAGCCAGCCGGCCTCCGTCGAAAGCGTGGAGACCTTCAGCAGCGACATGACGCGGAGGAGCGAGAAGGAGATCCTGCAGGCTCTCAACGACCGCTTCGCCGGATACATCGACAAGGTGCGCAACCTGGAGATGCACAACCGCAACCTGGAGGCAGAGGCGGCGGCGCTGCGGCAGAGCCAGGCGGGGCGCATCTCCGTCGGGGAGCACTACGAGAGAGAGCTGAACGACCTCAGGGGGCTCCTGCAGCAGCTGACCGGGGAGAAGACCCGAGCCGCCCTGGAGCACGAACACCTGGAGGAAGACATCCAACACCTGCGGGTCA